TAGCCAAATCAAACTCGAAGTCCACGAGATTGATGCTGCTGCGAATAGTGTCCCCGTCCCGGCGGAGATTGGAGTAGAATGCCCGAACGTAGGCGGGATTGAAGGAGGTGCGACTGCGGGAGACGAAAGGCCACAGACCCGACTCCTTGAGTTGATTGTCAAGGTCGTAGTAACCCTTTTGTTGAGGGTATAGCTCGGGTAGCACTCTTGGCGGAGAGATGGGGCGTTTGGCGAAGTAGGTGATGAAGCGTGTGAGTTCCTCTTCTGACCCGAACTCCAAAAAGGAACCGTCGAGATATGGGAAGGGTTGAGGCGCGGATGACGTAGCCTCGGTGGTGACCTTCTTCTTCGAAGCCTTTGTCTTCTTTCCTCCAGCCATGATTGAAGCAAAAGGGAAAAATTTATGAAGAAAAAGGGCTGAACTATGCAAAGATAGACTAGAGGAATGAAATATGGATGTAGATTGTGATTAGAAGTGACCAAATAAGGTGTATATATATAGGGAAGGAGTGGAAACCGAAAAGTGTTCAAAAAATATGATTGTTGGGCATTTAATTCGTTGCCCAACGGTTATATTTTTTTTGAATTTTGGCAGGCTCCCATCGATGGTATGATCTAACCATCGATGGGATGATCATCACTGGAAAGCACGGAAGAAATTAAGCCTGCCTTCCCATCGATGGTCAAACTCACCCATCGATGGGAGGGTGGCTACTGGAAATCCGTTAAAACGTTTTTAAAAAAAAGAAGTGTCAAACACCCAGCGATGGGAAAAACTTCCCATCGATGGGAGGGGAGGATCTGGAAAAAGTGTTTTTGGAAAAAAGTCCTTTACCCAGCGATGGGATGAAATGCCCATCGATGGGTGCTGTGTTGCTGGAAATCCGTTAAGAGATATTAAAAAAGATTGAGTCAATTACCCATCGATGGGAAGAAGCACCCATCGATGGGAAGTGGGGTTCTGGAAAAAAAGAGACTTCCCTCCCAGCGATGGTATGGGCTACCCATCGCTGGTTCCCCCTGATTTCCAAAATTCTTCACTTCGAACCGTCCCTGCAGAAAAGAGTTAGAAAACCCTCCGACGCTCAAGTTAGTAAACGTTCCAGTAACAATAAAAGAATGATAAAATGCACAAATTAGATCATCGTGGAGTCAAGGATTCCGAGTTCGCTAAGAATGCGGAAGAACGACTCTTTCTCTAAAGGTTTTGTGAAAATGTCGGCTAATTGGTTGTGTGTTTCAACAAACTCAATTTCGACATCACCTTTGAGAACATGATCTCTAATGAAATGGTGCCTAATGTCAATGTGTTTCGTTCTTGAATGAAGAACGGGGTTCTTCGTCAAGCTAATGGCACTAGTATTGTCACAACGAAGAGGAACGTGACTGATACTAAGGCCATAGTCCACGAGTTGTTGCTTCATCCAAAGGATTTGAGCACAACAACTACCGGCGGCAACGTATTCCGCTTCGGTTGTGGATAACGCAACACTGACCTGTTTCTTGCTAAACCATGAAACTAAAGAACTACCAAGTAAGTGGCAAGTCCCACTCG